TCAAAGAAAAATTGTGGTTGAGAATTGCATACCTATTTTGCAAAATTTAAATATAGGACAGAAATTTGCTTACAATAGTGAGTATAAAACCGGTTCCGAATTTTTTCTTCAGAAAATCAGGTGACCCATTACACATCAAACGACCGTTGACCATTATCCCAACTCTATCACCCAATTTATCAGCTTCATCCATGTAGTGTGTGGTCAACAGAATTGTCCTTAATAGAATATAAATTGGCCAAATTATTTAAAATTCAACAAAACCTATCCTTCTTGATTTTTGTAAGTAAAGTAGATATTTCTTTTCGAGCTATCGGATCCATTCCAGCTGTCGGTTCGTCGAGAAGAACAACTTGGCTTCCAGCAACCAAAGAAATAGCAACACAAAGTTTACGTTTTTGACCGCCACTTAGATTTTGAGATTGCTATAAATTAATTATAAATTTTTAATTTTAGATTACAAACTATATCTATTGAAGCACGCAGATTAATGCTATCAAGTATATCAGCAATTTCTTCATTTAAAATATTTTTTCCATGAGGTCCATTGAGTGTAGCAGTTTTAAGACCAGCATAAAGTTGTAAATGCTCCCTGACAGTTACTTTTTCGAATAATGGATTGTGTTGTGGACAATAACCTAGAAAAGTGATATTAAAAACAAAAACGTAGTATTAGAAATTTTACCAATGACTTTACGACAATCATCCAAATTGTCTTCCAAATTTCTACCACAAATAATTACATAACCACCAGAAGAGGTAATAGACCCGGTAATCATAGAAAATGTTGTAGTCTTTCCAGCTCCATTATGTCCAAGTAAAACGGTTACCTTTTTATTTAAAATAAATTTAAAAATAAAATTAATATAGTTACTTGTCCACGATAAGCTCTAAAATTAAGATTGTCAACGGCAAGATTTCCCCAAAAACCAAAACGCTTGCTGAGATTCTGAATAATAATATCAGCCTCGTCAATGCTTGCATTTTCTGGTTCCATATTTTCGATAAGAATTTTTGAATCGGTCTGATCAACTGGTGGCATTTTATTAAGACGTTGATGTGAATGCCTTTTCCAAAAATTCTTAAATTTAAAAAAATATTGTAAAAATAATACAAAAAATAACCTCAAAAAGAAATAATGGATGCTTTTTTGCAGAACCATCAGTGGGGAAAACGGAGTCAATATAGAAGATCAAAAAGCAAAGAACGGCAGAGTCAACAATGAACATAAACAGAACATAAGCAATTGTGAATTGAGTGGTTCCATTGTCGAAGATTGAAAACCAACCAAGATAAATCACTAAATTTGGTCACATATACTTATGAAATATTAAAATACAAACTATTCTTTTCAGCATTAATGATGTGAGCTAAACCATAATAAAAGGCTGTAATTGGATTCAAAGAAAACAAAAAGCAGAGCCACACATTTGTAATTGCTGGCGCAAGTTGATGGTTGAGAATAACAAGAAGGATTGGGATAACCATACAAAAAAGTTGTGCAAGTTGTGTTGTTTTGAAGATTGCAGAAAATAAAGCTGACATAAAAATCATTGAAACGGCAAAAAGAACAGTGAGAGTAATGAAAAGTAAAGAACTCGAAAACTTAAAAAATATTGATGTAAATTAAATAAAAATTAAAAAATACTTGAAGTCTAATCGAAAGTAATGCAGTGCAAATAACCATAACAGCAGTTGATTTGATAATTCCAAAAATAATATGGGATAAATAAAAAGCCAGTGGATGTAATCCCATTACAGACATGTAAGTCTAAAAATAAATTTTAGGTGCTGGTCTAGTTTATGCGTCCAATCAACAAAGAATTCGATTTTTCTTGGTGTTGCAAGGTTGGGGTATGGGTTTAAAACATTTCTTCATTTTCGGGATCTACGCCCATTGGCTTTGGTGTTGCAAGGTTGCCTTAACTTATTCCTCGAAATTTCGGAAAGTTATAGCCAATTTTTAAAAATTTCAGAAAAACGATTTTAACTTTCAGAAATTCCGAGGGATAGGCAACCTTGTAACACCAAGAAAAATCGAATTTTTTGTTGATTGGACGCATAAACTAGACAAGCGCCAAATTTTATTTATATAAAAATATAATTTTAAAAACCTTAATTCCAGCTTCTTTATCAATAACAATTTCTTTCGAAGTATGTAACATGATTCCAGAAATAGATAAAAGCCATAGAACCATAACACCCTTCAGAAAAAAGAAAATCCCACCATCCATTGATTTATCGATAGGGACACGCAAAAGATATAAATCTTTATTTTTCATATAGTCTGGACCTTTGTTCTAATAAAAAATATTTAATAGGTATATAGGAAAGAAATGAAAATATAGGATATAGTGTAGTTCACCGGAGGTAAAAGTTCGGGACGTGACATATTCATTCGATTCGTCTCGGCGAGCTGATTGTGAGTCGAACGGGTTTTTTACCCCAAAATCGAGCTTACTTCCCCTATGGTTTTTCAATTTTTCGGGACCTATAACTCGGTCCAGGATCATTTCCTGAAATTGGGAGTGATACCGTTCGACTCAGCTCGCCGAGACGAATCGAATGACATATGTCACGTCCCGAACTTTTCCGGTGAACTAACTACAGCCAAAATATATTTATACCATTTCGATAAAAGTACTTTCGATTGCAAACTGAATTGAAAGAAATCCTCTTTGCCAATATGGTGGCTTGCCTGGTATTTGATTGTGGTCAGCCTGTGCACTGTTTGGACTATTATCAAACCAAAATAATGAAAGATCAAAGTCGTTATTTTCAGTAAGCATGTTAGTCTTCTGAGGCATCAAAATACGGTAGACAAGTTGAGGTTTAGATTTCCCACTCTGAAGGCGTACATTTTGGAAATGAACACCGCCTAGGAAAGTACAAAATTTAGTTAGTCTCCCTGATAAATTTGGGGTTGTAGGATGTATTTTTTGTTTTTAATTGGAGGAAAGTAGAAAATATTCTCACCAGAAAAGAAGAGAAATAAAAAGAAAAGTGAGGGCGACTCAACCGCTCTAAAAGTTGCGAAGAGGGAAAAAAGGGCCGAAACTATTCCCCCCCCCCCTCTTCCGATTTGAGGGGTAGGGCCGATACTTTGCTGGCGATGGCAAATTTTGGATATTGGAATACCCCTCTGCTCTACACGATGGTATAAATTAAATTGAAAAATTTTCCCTGAAGTTCGTTAAGGTTCCATGTAAGTGTCAACCCAAAAATTTAATTTAAAAACAAACCGATATATTCACTGCACATATATTCCCTAGTACTATTTAAATCTTCTTTCAAAACTTCCATCATCGTTTCAAGACGAGTAAAGTTGTGAATAAAAATACGCATCGTCTCATTATCCGAGTAACGTTCACTTAACGCCTCCATGATTTCGAATGCCAATTTATCCATTCCGGGCTCATAACTAAAGCAAATTTTAATAAATTATTGGCAATCCCGGAGAATTGGGGTTTCTTCGAATAAAAATTTTAAAAATAAGAAAGGATTTTTCTAGAGTAAAAAATATGCTGATTAAGAATCTGAGCTCAGATTTTGAAAAATCTAATCCCGAACCCGAATTCGGAATTTGACGACGGACATTGTACAAAGATAGTCAATCTTTCAAAATCATGTAGAACTCAACGAACTTTTAAAAATCTGACAATGAGCTCAGATTCGTAATCAGTATTTTTTACCCTAGAAAAATCCTTTCTACTTTTTAACATTTTTTTTCAAAGAAACCCCAATTCTCCGGGATTGCCAAATAATTTAACTGAAACCTAAATCCAAGATGGATATCAACATCACGTCCACAATTGTAATATTTGTCAATGCTGCTAATGTGGGAAATACTTCTATTGATGTCTAGAGAATCTCCCGTTACTTGAAATGGTTCAAAAGAATATTGCTCCTCAATCTCTGGCTTTGGAGCCTGAAAAGTATTTAAGAATTAAAATTAAATATAAATTCCTTACATATCTCACAACAACCAGAACGACTGGCAAAAGAATAAACAAAAATGCAAGTTCTAAAAGAAACATACATTTGCTTCGCCACAAAACAATTAAATTCTTCCAAAGCAGCAAAGAAAGTTGGGGACCAAATCCCATTTCCAACAATTTTTTCGCTAAAAAGAATTTAAAGAAAAATCTAACAAGCAAAAATGAGTAAGAGGAACAAACAATATTGCCAAATAATATGTCAAAAATTGCTTTTTAAATTGAATTTTACTTTAATTTATAAGGAAAATTGAATGATTCATACTTGATCAATTCTTCGATTAAATGACGCGAATTAACGAAATATTTTTTGTCGCGCATAAATGGCATAAGACAATTAGGCGCAAAACTTGGGACAGCCCAAGTAGGCGCGCGGCCATAACGGCGCAAAGCCATAACTTGCTGGAAAATTTCTGACCCCTATCAATTTTGGTACCAATCTCTTTAGCTCGATGAGAGGAATCGTTTAATACTAAATTTGATAAGATTTGGAAATCTCGACGCAAGTTATGGCTTTGCGCCGTTATGGCCGCGCGCCTACTTGGGCTGTACCCCAAAAACTTTTTGTGACATTTCAGTCCTTTTTTCTAGACTCCATTTTTGACTTTCCAAGTTTTTTGTATGTATAGAAGGGTCAAACTTTCTTCATTCCTCAATTTCACTCTTTCCCTGTGCATATTCTAATGAGACATTAAGGAAGAAAAGATTAATTTTTTGCAATGTCACAAAGGAGGAAAACTTGTGAAAGAAAAAATTGGGATTTTCGGGGGTCTGTATCTTGACCCAAAGTTAAGACCGGGGATTGCTTTTGGTGTCATTCGTTACAGCTCGACGAGTTTTATAACCTAGACTGACTGACCATTTTTTACTTGGTTACTAAATTGACGTGGGGGGGGGGGGGGGGGGTAAATAAGTACCCTGTTCCTCTTCAATGCTGGCAGTAATAATTCGCGTAATTTTAACCATTTTTTGTTTCTATTTTAATTTTAGTAATAAATTAAATAATTATGATCAGCATATTATCTATTGCTAAACGTCCAATTTTTGACTCAATCAAATCAACTTTGTCTATTTGTGCTGTGAACAAACGCAATGCTTCTCATACCGACATTGTTTTTCCCAATTTTGATGATTATCGTTTAGAGTCGGTTAAAAATCCGACTGGATCTGAGGCTAGTGAAAGTGTTGATGACAGGCGTGGTACTCCAAGTGCAATAGTTTATGGAGGTTTTTTTTTAATTTTATTTTTAATATTTTGGGTTCGATTCCTGTCTATATTTCTTATCGGGGGTTTTGAAGTTCGTACCCCCTCCCCCCTCTTTTTTTTCTTCTCAAGGTATTAAAAATGGTCAGTCTTCAGAAAAATGTAGAACACAACGAGCGGTGTCTGTTGATTTTGGTGTCATTCGACACAGCTCGTGATTTACATTCTTAAGACTGACCATTTTTATACCTTGAGAAAGAAAAAAGAAGGGGGGGGGGTACGAACTTCAAAATTACCTTATCTTTTAAATTTTTCTATTTAGTTGGTGGTGCTTGTTCTGTTATCACAGCAAAGGTTATACTCAATACACTTGTCGAATACAAATCAATGCCCGCCGATATGAAAGCTATGGCTTCTGTTGAAATCAATTTGGATGAAGTTCCGGAAGGAAAGACAAAAACTTTCGAATGGCGTGGAAAGCCTATATTTGTCAAACATCGAACTGAATCTGAAATTAAACGGGAACAGGCTGTTGAAGTTTCTCAACTTCGCGATCCACAGAAGGATGAGGATCGTGTTCAACGTCCAGAATGGTCGATTCTTATTGGTGTTTGTACTCATTTGGGATGTATTCCAATATGTTGGTTTTTTTTAATTTTTATTTGATAATCATTTTTATATTTTTTGTTTGTCCCTTTCCTCTTTCCTTTCCTATGTGTCTCTTAATGGGCACCTTTCCGGCCTCAATTTCGCTCTTTTTCCTTTGCCATCTCCAATTAGAGTGCTGATTAAATAGAGATTAATTTTTTTCAGAACGTTTACTGAGATAAAGTATTTAGATTAGATCAGAGACGCAGCCAGAAAAAATTTTCGGTGTGGGTGAATCGTTTCTGTAGATGTTAAATTTATATTTTTTGACGCTGAAGGCGCTAAAATTTGATTTTATGCGCCACATGCATGAATTTTGAAGGGCCGTATTCGCAAAAAATTTACTCTAATCATTCTATATTTAACTAAAATTACTTTTAATATTAAAGCTAATATGGGTGAATTTGGTGGCTATTTTTGCCCGTGTCATGGTTCTCATTATGATGCCTCTGGACGCATTCGAAAAGGCCCGGCACCGTTAAACATGGCAATTCCTGATTATGAATTCGTGAATGATAATACTATTGTGGTTGGGAAGCCATAATTGAGGTGATTTTTGATAAATTTTGAGACAAAATTAATTTAATTTTTAAGTTTGAATACGGAAAAGCAAAAAATGCCTGATTAGGATCTTTTTTTTGATGTCATCAATTATAATGTTGTTTTTCCCTTTTATAGTAGAATTCTTCAATTTATGTAATTGTAAAATTGTGTTGGATAAAATTGGACTTTTATTTAATCTTTTTTCAATTTTATATTTTGTTTTGCACAATTATATATATTAATTTTTTTAAATAATTTTTGAAATGGCTTTAATAGAAGGATTAGAAAAATGCCTATTGCACCAACTCAATCATCTCCAATGGATCGTGTCTACAGACGCATTGATTTTGAGCAACTGAAAATGCCAATTGGTTTTATTCGGCTTCTTGAAGCGGTTTGGATTTTTATTAAAATATATTTTAGAGCGAAAAATCATAAGGGAGTCATGATGGAATGGGGCTTCAGTTTCGTCGATTTGTATAAATTGTTACAGTTAAAAAGCTGGAAAGAGTTTGGATTGAGTCTAATGAGATCTAAACCAGCATTAGGGTTGCCGGCTCGCTCGACCCGAAACTCGAATGATCGAGCGAGCCGAGGCTTTCAGCTAAAAAACGAACCGAATCGAAAAAAATCAAGCTCGAAAAAATGCACCGAACGTCGGCTCGAACCGAAAACGGCTACCCTAATCAGCATAATCCGGGAAAGCCTTGTCGAGCCACGTTACCTTTGACTAAATTACGAAACGAATGTCTAACAATAAAAAGATCTCCCCGTTTTTTGATTTCTAACTAAAATATTTTTTTAGGTCTTTTGTCTGATTGTTTTTGCTGCTTTTCACGGCTGGCAATTCGACCTTGACATTAAGTGTGGCCCTCCAACGGCAAAAAATCAAACAGAAAGAGCAACTTATGAATATCATTCTCTTGAGTTTATTTTTAAACATTTTCTAATTTTATTATTTTTTGTAGTATTAGTGGCTATAAAGTCCATCGTTGTAATGATTCGGATACTGAAGTTTTTCTGTTTAAGGATGACTTTGGCTCGTATGTTTTTAAATTTAACAGAGGGAATTTATTAGGGTTTCACCGGAACTGATATTTTGACCGGAGCCGGATCCAATTTGAGTTCCGAGTTCCGGTTCCGGAACTTACGGTGAAACCCTAGAATTTACATATACAATATTAAAATTATCGACAAATTATTATTAAAATATGAGATCAAAGAGTTACTTGATTCATCAGTTTTTGTAATCCTTTCCGCTGAAAAAAGTATATAAGAAAATTCCTTTTTACAAATGCCATAATTTTTTGAAATAAAATTTAAAAATTGAAGAAAAATTTTTTTAGTGGCACTGATTTTTACTCATATCTAATTCCATTATCTTTATTCTTGACAACCGGTATGCTGCTCTTCTACATTTTCTCCTATGGAGTTTATGCAAGTGATGACAGATTACCCATTCTTGTATTTTTTAAATTTTTAATATTTAAATTTAAAAAATTTTTAAAGGATTTAACAGTAACGGCTCTCTTGGCTGTTTTTTGGATGTTTGGGACTTTATTCTTTTCCATTTCTGCACGTAGAATTGAAGAAGCTACAAAGCCTGAAAATGTAAATGCAACACTTGCAGCAATAGATATTTGTGGGGGCAGAAAATGTGAATATACTTCTTATTCAGTTCACGCAACTTTGGCGATTGCTTCGGTTAGTTTAAATTTATTTTTATGGCAATTATTTTTCTTCAATGCTGATTCATTGTCATACGTTTTACAAAGTAAAAAATAAATTCGGACCAACCGTCCACCTTACTAAATGGGTACTTATTTAATATCTTACCCCATCCCTATTTGAGTCAGATTAATTTTCCTTTTATTCTTTTGTTCCTCGGAATGGTCAATTTTTATTTCTTATAAATCTCGATTTTTGCCGTTAGTTTAATTTTCGCCTTTGCCATTTATGTTTTCTTCACTAATTTCTGCTTAATTAACTTATATTTTACTAAAAATTCTCGAGGAAAATAAATGATAGGCAATAAAAGAAAAATTAATTGGAACTAAATAGGGGTGGCGGTAGGATATTAAATAAGTACCCGTAGTTGTAATTAATTTTTAACATTTTCTTTCATTTTTTTCAAAGCTTGCTGGTGTTGGTCTTTTCATTCTTTTTACCGGAAATATTTGGTATATCTACAAAGAAACTCCATATTTTCGAAATCGCCAATCCAGACGTAATTTGCACCACAATAATTTGCCGGCGGCAGAGCCCTATACTTTGGAATGAAGGAGGAAAAATAAACTGGTTAGATAAGTATTTATTTTAAATAAAAAACTTTTACTTTTGGACTACTCTGTTCATCTACTTAATTTTATTTGAAATTAGAGATTGGAAGGACAAACCGTAAATTCTTTTTGAGATTGTTCAAGGGGACGCTTGCTTTTTCGAATTATTTTCATGTGAAAATCTAATTTGATTAACAAATTAATGAGTGCACTGTAGATTCATCCCACCCTGCATTCGTCCCCTTGCCTAAAAACCTTTGATTCGCCTCAATGAACAAAAACCCTGGATTCGTCCCACCTTAAATTCGTCCCATTTAAAAATGTCCAACAGAGTCAAGACTAAGACTTGGTAGCTGACACATTTGACGTGTTCGACAAATTGAGTATTTTTACTTGTTGGACATTTTAAGATGGAACGAATTTTTAGGTGGGACGAATCCAGGGGTTTTGTTAATTTGGACGAGTCCAAGCGCAGCGAAATTAATTTGTTTGAGGGGTTGTATGATCTCTAATTTACCTAGAAATATATCCTTTCTATTTATTTAGATATATTTTCCAAATTTCCTTTTCTGGCCCAATTTATTGCTTCAAAAATTATTCTTCATATCAGCTTATATTTTGATATTTTTTCATTATTTTACATTGACAAAATTTATTTTTCCATAAACGAGATTTACTGTTAAATTAATTTTATTTTTTAAATAAATTGCTCTCTCTTTTAACCGATTTATTCATTAAAAAATTAAAAAAACATTTGCGTTAATATCGTTGAAAAAGAAAAAATTTGTGGTAACGAAAAAAATTAATTGAATTTAAAATTAAAAAATGAAATTAAGAAAATAAAAATTAATGAAATTTAGAAAATATTACAAGATTTAAAGCTTTATATTACCTTTTAATTTTAATTTAAAAAATTATTAGTATAAGAGAAAGAAATTTTAATATTAAAATGAGTATTTTTATAATAGTTGATACTATAGTTTTTACGGAAATTATTTTTCTTAGATTTTTTTCTAAAACAAAAACTATCAACTTTATAAACAAAAGTGGTGAAAAAAGTTTAAAAAATACAATTTTATGTACACTTTTTCGAGCTGCTTATGAAGACTAAAAATAATATCAAAAATATTTGAAAATAATATGGCTGAGATTAATATTTGGGTTGGAAATTAATAAAATTTAAAAGGAAAACAAAATTTTATTTTTAAAATTAATTCCAACCCTTAAATAATATTGAAAAAAACTAGAGATAAGTATTTTCAAAAATTTTGGATTTGGATTTAGGTTAGTAACTTGGACAGGATTCTGGATCCAAGAAAAATCCAGATCCAGAAAAATCTAGGACATTCGAAAAATGCCTGGATCTGGACTCTGGATCCAGACCCAAACCGATCTCTAGTCTAAACATTTAATTGACGAATTTCTTTTATTTAAATTATGAAGCAAATATTTGAAAAAATATTTTTAAATAAATGTAAAAATTCGTTAATTTAAAATTATATTATACTTATTATGCACACTTTTTTGGTCTTAACGCTTGTGAAATAAAAAAATTAAAGAAAAAAAACAATTATTTTTATATATAATCTTGACTAGATTGCACATTCATCGTTCGGCGGTAATTTAAAAAATTAAAAAAAAAATTAGAGAAACTTAAGATAACTTTACAAATAAAATAATTAAATAAAACCATGCGTATTTTCAGCGATTTAAAATATAAATTAAAGATTGCTATATGTGTATGCTCAAATAATTCCCTAGAGTGTAATTATTGTTTCGACCTCTCACTGGGGGTAGGGGGTAATTAATCGAAATTGGTAATTAATTAAGACGGGGGCAGTTATTTGAACATTTTTATAATTACTGAAATTTAATTAAAGTACTCGAAATTTTTCTTCAAATTTGTGTAATTCCGAAATGTAATTATTAAATATTTAATTAGCAACCATTTATTTATATTTTTAAATAAAGTAATAAAAATATTAAAATTAAAAATAATTTCTAAAAAATAGCTAAAAAAAGAAAGAATTAATATTTGACTGATTTTGCACGAATCTCTTAAATTGTATTGAAAAGTGGTAAATAGAGATAAATCAAAATTATTAGTAAAAGAGCGCAATAAATAAAAATGAAGAACAAAAATTAAAAAAAAATTAAATTAATTCGTTGATTATTGAAAAATATTTTAAATTAATTAAAAACATACCGTAAATGCTTTAATATAAGCCCTGGGCTTATATTTTTAAACGGGTCCATTTGAGTGGGCTCCTATTAGAGACAGAGCTTATATTTTTTGATGGGCCTCTTTGGGTAGGCTTGTATTAGATATGGGTTTCTAATAGAGCCGGGCTTTAATTAGAGCATTTACGTTATTTTCTTTGCTATAAAATTAAATACTAATAATAAATAATATTAAAAATAAATTTTCTAAAACAAGAATCATAAAGGAGTAATTGTTTAACTGAATGGACGACGCATATTTTAAAGCGATATTTGGATTAGTTTGTGGTAAAAAATATTTTTAAGAATAAAATGATTAATTTAAATTAAATATTTAAAACTATTTAATTCAGGGCTTGGATTCGTACTTGTTTTTTAAGTGCAGTCTTATAAATCGACCCTCATACTTACGAAATTGAAAATGTAACGTACTAACTAATTTTTTAGACTTTATGGTCAAAAAATTAAATTTAAATGTTAGAAACAAGTCAGCATCTAAAAG